GAAGTACTACTTTAGCAATGTCTTCGCTACACTTGCGAAAAAAAGCCACCCAGGTGGTAGAGCTCGATTAGTCCTGCATAATCTATGCCCTCAATGTTCATTCTTGATCGTCGATTCTCATAAAATCCGGAAGCTATAGCAAATGCTTTTAATAAATGCTTCAAATCTGTTTCTTTTTCTACCGATAACGGCATCACTCCTTGAATTTCCGCGTGCAGCAAACTACGTACTCTTCCTAATCTTTTATTGAGCTCCTCTGAAGGGCATAACCTAATAATAATAGTTTTGAAGTTACGATACATTCTGGCCCAGACGGTATGCCAAATATATTTATTAATTGGTAATCAGTATGGCGTGCTTTTCGCTGTCATATTTAAAAAAATCAATCTCTGCAACAGTTCTCCAGCTGTGGAAGTTAGCAAACGTTGTTTTTCTGAGTCTGGAAACAAGACAATAGCAAATCATTGACCAATATCTTTGCTTTTCATACCAGCTCCACATGTTTGGAGCATATAATCAACAAATACTATGCAGAGTACCTAAACACAGACAACCTATTCTCCCGATGGCTGCAGAGTTGCTTGAACTTACGCGTGACAATGTTGTTTTCTTTAACAACTGAAGACAGATTTATGCCATATTTATTGACTGTTCTGAGGATTTTCACATTGTTTGCCATACCAAACTTTAGGCCAGCTCTTCTACCTGCACTTACTGCAGCTGCGAAGAAACCATCGCCCACCTTCTATATGAGTGTACACATTTCAACGCGCTAAGACAAGAACTTACTGAAGCTCTGGATAGACTAGATGATCGGCCTTTGTCGAAACAAAGAATTCATGGTCATTGGCTGAGTCCATCCTCAGCCCAGAAGGCTTTGAAAGCTTTGTTATGCTTTTTGCGGACAACTGGCCTCAGAGACAGACTTTATAGTCTTATTTTCTCTCATTTGGCGGTTCCTCTTTCGCAATTTTTTCATTTTCTCTCTCCTTGCAACAATTTTCTTCCATCATATTTTATTCCCCTCACCCCTTTCCTAGTAACGGGTAGCCAGCCAGTCTGAAAACTGGCTAACCACCCTGCCTTTCCGCTTAATCTTTCCTACTCCTCCTAGCTTTTTACAAACTTGGACACAACAAGCTGGTTGATTGGATAGCAAATTACTTGCGATCGCGCTCAAAATACGTTACGTTTCAGTTTCAGTTTATTTACTTTCATGCAAAACATACATGCTTACATAAGTATACAGAAGGAGGTCCCGGAGCTTTTGACTGAAAGGGGACCTCCTGTCAGAACTTGTGTTGAATATGTACAAGTAAAATGCAATTCTGTTAACGACGTGGAATAAGTTAAATGAATAAAAGTAACGCAGACTAAAAATAGTCAAATTTTAGCGATCATTGGTACAACAAAAACACTGCTTAAAACATTTATAAGATATATAAAAACAAAAACATTGACTAAATGTACAAAGGAATGAAAAAAGCAAGAAAAAATGAATAGCTGCGGCACAATTAAGAGTACATAAATATGAACAGGTCTAGATAAATTACACATCGTAGAGTTTTAAGGTATCCAGAATAAATGAGAATAACGTGTTTTTATAAAGAGCTAATGATGAACACTGCTTAACGTTAAAAGGAAGACTGTTCCTGGTCGATAACGTCGTGAAACAACCAGAGTGTTTTTCATCATTAGTATGAACTAATGGCAATAAATCATTGTTCTTAGCTGCGAATCTTGTTCGGTTGGTATTGACTAGAGCAGCTTCTGGAAACATGTTAACTGCAGGAGGGTTCTTCATTATTTTAAATAAAGCTAAGGTTGAATTGTAATTCGCAACGCTCTCTAGTGAAATGGTTCTGTTATTACGAAGTACGTCGGACACATAGCAGCTGAATGAGGTGAACGTTAGTATACGGATGTCCTGATTTTGTAAATGTTGTAGCGGCGCTACATGTGTTGGATATGTGGTAGCCAACGACGGGATGCAGTATTTCAGGCGACTGTAAATGAAACAATATTTTAGAGCTAGTATTGTAGGTTTGCTGAAATAGAACTTGGCTTTTAATAAAATTCTAATACCAGGAGCAATATTGTGCTTCAGATGGACATGATGTAACTTTTCAATAATTACCAGGCCACTGCGGAATCATCGATAACGAGCAGGCCGACGACGCGGCAAAGAACGCTCACAAAGATGGCATGATGGATCCCATTCCGCTATCAAGAAGCGACGCAGCAGCAAAGAATTATACGGTCACGCACGATGACGTCAGGTCTGTGGAACACGCTCAAATTCTACACATCCGTATTAACCGTCGGATCTATACCTATCACTTTCCATTTCATTTGGGTATCCAGATCTGAGACAACCGTTCCCTGCCGCATGGGGCTTGGATTGTCTTACACAAACACCTTTGCTTTCCGCATCGGATTGGCAGACAGTGCTGCGTGTGACCATTGCGGCGCTGACGAAACCATCGAATGTATTTTGTGTCGATGGGCTCAGTACAACGGTCAGAGGCAGTTCATGTCAGCAATCTTTGCACGCATCGACGACCAGCCGCTTTCCAAAAATAATTTTTGGAATGCCGGAAAGATCGAGCTTCACGTCGAAAGCAACGAAGGCCCTACTCAAGCTTTTGCGATCAACCCGCCTCGTCGAACGTTTGTGACATTCTAGTGTGTGTGTGTGTGTGTGTGTGTGTGTGCGTGGTGTGTGTGTGTGGTGTGTGTGCGTGTGCGTGGTGTGTGTGTGTGTGTGTGTGTGGTGTGCGTGTGTGTGTGTGTGGTTTCGCTGCCCTTCTACTCTCTTCTCTCATTCTCTTTTCTTTTTTCTGTCTTCCACTCCCTTCGCCATTGCAGGGTAGAAAACAGCTTGCTTTCCGTTTTACCTCCGTGCTTTCTTCATACAATATATCTCTCTAAACTAAGACCAAAAAATGACAATAACCATTTGCACCAATGGCATGAGAATCAGGATGACAGACGGAAGGATCCACGTAAAGTTTACTAACGTTCATACAAGTCTGAAAGAGGCCGAAAGGCTCGTCGCTTTATCCTCTTTGTTTGTTATTTATATGAATTACGTAGCCGAGATTGTAAGTGACCCCAAATTAAACCTAGAATATATGCAGACGACTCCGTTATCTGTAAAACCATGTCTAATACTGAAGATTACTGTTTTTTTTCGTCGTTTTGGAACAGGAGTGGAATTTGGCAATTGTCTGTTAACTGCGAAAATACTGTATTCACGACCTTTTCATAAAAATAGCCTCTTCGTTTTATATAATAATGATGGTGTAAGTACATTGCGCGTCACTAAGATTAAATTGTTTTGTGTAACTCTGCAATCAAATTTATTGTGGCCCCATATTTTGCAGCAGTAATACATCTTCAAAAACATTGGTATTTCCGATACACCCTAAACAACTAGACAAAAGAATGTGAACTGAAGCGCATAACTTTTGGCCGGACTCAAATAAGCGTTGGTTGGTTCATGACCTGACCGCAAACATGATATAGCTATAGTAGAATATTTCACAGCACAACAGGTTAGAGACGGACAGTGCTGTGTCTTCTCTGTCCGTCTCTAACCCCTTGTGCTGTAAAATGTTGTTCGATGAACATTCACTAACTTGCCCAACTCGTGATTCTGCTTCAGCATGATGTAGTATGCGAGAGACAGTTTAACAAAGCAGTAAGGTTTATAATTTGTCGCTATGACCAGCGTTTATAGTATACACTTCGAATATACGTTTTATCACTGCAGCCCCTCTCGAACATCGGTGCACTTGCAATCCTGTCATCCTCCTGCGTAAATAGTTTGGTTTACACTGGTTACACTGTTCTAGCACACCTATCATTCGTTTCTATTTTTGCACACCGTACCCGGTGATTTGATTCTACGGAATTGTACCCATTAGATCAATTAGGAATCGTTTAATTGATCACCTGCGGAACGTCGATTTTTGGATTCAGCTTGATGGTTACCTGCACAGACTCTGTTTAGAGGTATAAAAAAGAGACTTGCGTGAATATGTATTTTCTTAACTTGTATTTTTGAAGGCGCTGAACAATTTTGTTTTCACCTGCTATATCTGGATATCTGGAAGACCCGTATTTGTAAATAAATAGCATTAAGACATGCTGACGTCACTTCAACTGCATGGCCCTTTCGAGGAAACAGATTTCCTTTTCGATATTCAAGGAACAAGCTGCTATCCCCACCAACTCTTTATCCTTTCTTAAATCGTAATCCTTTCTTGAAGCCTGTAGGGAAAATAAGAATGCCCGAGCGGTAAAAAAATGACACTAGATGTTCTATAAATAAACAGATTTTCTGTGAATATGCTTCTAAGCCACATTACTGCACCTTGCAAAGTAAGTGGCAGTGCTACTGAGGGTCATATCATAGAGGGCTGGACTTCTACAAGCGTACGTGAAAGATATAGCACGCATTTTTTTCATACATTTAAGCTAGACACCAGCATCAGTTAAGTATGCTTCTGCTGTGTTATGCATTTTGAGCAGGAGAAATATTAGAGGAATTCAAGTCGTTGCAGATTGTGCCCATTTGAAAGAGGTTGCCACAGATAGACTAATGGGGAATGGAAAGATATTGCTTCACTACCTACTGTATATTTCACCGAAAGCTGGCTCCCGAACGAACAAACCACGCCTGCACGACTTTATCCCCAATAATATCTGCGATTATACGTGCTAAAACCAAGATCTGATTACGAAGCACGCCGTCATGGAGGGCTCCGGAAGTTTTCACAATCTGATGCTTCTTCGCGTGCAGTAAGATCGCACAGCACAAGGCCCCTATTTCCTTGGCTCCACCGAAATGTGGATGCCGCGGCCGGCATTGAGACTGTTGCCTTCGGGAGAGGAGCCAAGCACCGTAAGGAATATACCAACAAGGCGGCCTCGTACCAAATTACCTGTTGGAGCAGCCAGCCAACCAACAAACAAAGAAGAGTCACCTGGAGGTGTATAATCTGGACACGAAGAAAAGATATTTATTGTCATGAGTCATGGACTACATCAGTCCGGCTGCGGTGAGGACGTGAGGGAGGTTGGCGGTACACTCTGGGAAGGCCTGCGCACACCCGGCGAGGCCGCGCGATCGGCCAGTCTTCGCGGCAGCGACGAACACGGAGACGGCTTTGGTTCCCACGCCCGCGTTGGTGTCGAAGAAGTACTTTGTCGCGGTACCCACTTTACCGAGGCGTAAGGCGTCGGCGGCGCTCTCGCAAACCATGCGGGACACACATCCTCGGTCATCTATTTCCTTCAGGAAGGCAAACAGCAAGTCTATCTGGAGCTTCTGCTCCTCATTCATGCTGCAAGTGTAGAAATGAAAGTAAATATGGATTCTCGTAGCTTGAAAGTGACACAGTGGCAGGCTACTAAAACGAAATGGTCAGAAATACCGCTCGACTTTTACATGGCGCAATGACGATACCATTGTGGCGCTCTGTAGAGGGGATACAAGATTAAGTATGACCTCTTTTTTTCAACGACGTGAGTGGATATTGGACCTGGTTTCAAGGTCCAGAAACTACGCGCCGGAGCTGTGAAAATAACCCGTCGTGCGGAAAGGGCAGCGTGTTGTTTAAAGAAAGCAAATAAGCCCACTTCTATAGCTCTAAATATCTTGTTAGTTTCTAGCAGCTATAGGTTTAGATATTGCACAGTGACCACAGAATGCTTCACACTTACCCGTATAGTTCCAGAAATTGTGGTACGGGATGTGAAAAAGGTATTAACTGGTGTACCATGATCTTACACGCACCACGCATTGCACTTGCTCTCCGCAGTCGTGAACCTCAGGTCGTATCGGCGGTACCAATTTTAGCACACTCGAATATCTGTATATCTAATGCATGCCAGGTGATCGAATGCCGTGTACTATCGAATATGAAGCGCCCGAACAGACTCATGTGGCACGCAGTGTCAGCCTAACATTAGGCGCCCCCACACGAGGACGTAACCCACATCGCGAACTCGAGAATGAAAAGCAAGAGCCCTAATGCTTTGAGTGCATGCGCGCACGCTTGACGTCTAACTTTCCCGTCCTCCCATCAGCATCACGGATTTTTGAACATGAGCGATCAAGTAATCCAAACGTTAGACAGCTTCAGTTTATCTGAAAACTGGATTGCTTTTGCCATTACCGGAGGCACAAGTGTGATTACTGCGCTGAACGCTGCAAAACAAAGCCTTCATTGCAAAAACAATGCAGTATATTGTGCTGCTGGCGTAAAGGATGTGCAAGCATTGGCTTGGTTATGGACATCAGGCCTTTAGTTGTAGATATTTTTGAGTAAACAAAGCTCTTCCAAAACACACACACACACCCAACTAGTGTAGTCAGAAGAAACCGTGAAAAATGTGGCTAGTCAGGTGAAGGAACTTGCACAGGCGCCTTTTCTTTAGAGATAAGATATACATTCGAAAATTATCTTCACGGTATAGCTGTCTCTACAGCAAGGCTCAGCTCTTACTTGAGTACATTTTGCAGTGCCGATATAGGAACCTTAATTTCCGTCTTCTCGGTGGTTGTTGTCGTCGTCACGTCATGGCCTGGAAGACCACGACGTCCTTCGAGCTCTTCGAATGGTGATTCCGTGAAGTCAGTGCCGGCCCTGAGGTTGAAGGTACCGGTGAATCCTTGGCTCAGCATGGACAACAAGGAACCAGCCATAGAGATCTTGTAGCCCAGAATGCCACTCACCGCGGATGTGACGCCACCGAATGGCAGGAACAGGCTGCCCACACACGCGCTCTGCACAACCAGCAGTGCTGCGATAAACAAGAAGGAGGCAGTGGAAATTCCCATAACTGCAAGATTAAAAGGACAGGCTGCAGTAACTGGACGCTTGTGTGCAGCGCTTTCTATATATTGCCACAACTCCTTTCTAAAATGTTCTTATCGTCACGTGTAAGTGCTGCCTTGCGCAAATACTGCAGAATGACTAAGGAACGTTGAGGTATATCTTAGAAGCTTTTTATGCCATAACGCGCACAGCGCGAACAATACAGTTACATTCGGAACTTACGCGATCGCTCGTGATAAACACTGGGATATTCGAAGCAAATGTATAAATGCCGGCGTGCATCCACGCATCTAAGTTCTTCGATCGAAGACGCTTTCTTCGATGATATCAGCGTAGAGGCTTGCTCTGATTTCGTTCACTTTCCCGGCCACAAGTATGGGCAAATGAGAGTTTCATCTTTGACACGCCGACTGCTACGTTCGTTAACGTCACGACACATGGCAATTTATTCTGAACAGGCACATGACGATGCATCAGCAGTGATTGCGCTCACGCTGTCATTGTCTTGGCATCACTGATGCATTTCAAATTACGTAATCACCACATGACCAATGATCTGAAGGCAGGAGGATGGGAAGAAAGAAAGACCTTTTTTTTCTCTTTGTGACAGCAGCTTTAACAAGAGACAACAGGATATCGTCCAAGTCACTTGAGAGCTTGAGAGGGTCAACATGCTAGTGCTTACCCTCTCTGCTCTTAGTGCCAGAGGAATAGTTAAAAAGGCGTGTGTTCGAGGTAAATGATGCTTCATGCTATTGCGAATATATATATATAAAAGGAAAGTATAGGGGAAGTTATTAGACCGAATTGATATGAGACTGTTCACAAAAACAACAGAGAAACCGGACCTGCGACCTTCAAACAACGCAGTCAATGCTGTACCACTGAGCTACCACGGCGGCTATCCCCCCTTCTTTTTATTGGGTATATATGTAAACTAAACACGGCACTGACAGTCAGCTCCACCAGTAGCCATGCCGGCGAGTGCGGCAAAAATTGATTGATTGATTGATATGTGGTGTTTACTTCCAAAACCCACCATATGATTATGAGAAACGCCGTAGTGGAGGGCCCCAGAGATTTTGACCACCTGGGGTTCTTTAACGTGCACCCAAATCTGAGCACACGGGCCTACAACATTTCCACCTTCATCAAAAATGCAGCCGACGCAGCCGGGAGTACCTTAGCCACTAGACCACCGCGGCGGGGAGATATTGTTAAAGGGGGTAGTGGCTTATATATATATATATCTATATATATATAATATATATATATATATATATAATATATATATATATATATATACGTTGTGAGCGGCGACAAGCGAATGACTATTCTCTTTGATATCATCATCACCTGTACATCTTCTTCATCTGAAAAATATCATCACCAGCGTGATTTAGCTCGAGCCTGGCTGAATAAACTGGTTCCTCACAATATATATATATATATATATATTAATATATATAATATATATATTATATATATATATATATATATATATATATATATATATATATATATATATATATATATATATATATATATATATATATATATATATATATATATATATATATATACACAAGTACGCGCATTTGAGTAACACGTCACCACCCCTTTAACAATATCCATGCATTGCCCCTTACAACAGCGGCTATTTTTACGCCGTTCAATTTTTTTTCCTACTGTGTTAGACTTGAACTAGCTTTAGGATCTCATACTGTCGAAACGGTAAAATATACGCTGCGCATTAGTATGAGGCACGCTATATTCAGCTTTGTCAACTGTAAACATTCAGCGCAGGACTACCCAGGATTTTTTGTTTTTGAGGGGAGGGGAGTGCAGCAGAACGACTAAATTAGGCAATTGGTGGTCGCTGTGAATACGTGTAAATATTTTAGTATATCCTGAAAAGTTAAATTACGAAAACATTTTGTGGTGTAGGGGGTTCAGATTCCCTTCCTCGCCCCTCTACTTACGGCCTCCTGGTTTTGCGTGCATTTCACACAGTATTTTTTTTCATCCCACAGCTTTCTGAGCGCAGCTAACTTCCAATAAATTGACTCAGTTATTCCTAATATTGTAAACGCCTGCTCAATGAAGAGTTGAGAGAAGAAATCAGAATAAGACACGCCCTTTTTAAATAATTTTGGATCTCCCACAAGGTCTTTTATGGAGCTCAAATTCACTAGATTGGCGTGTCATACTTCAAGGGTTAAGACATCATGTGCTAGACATGAATAATGGCAGGTACGAAGAAATCTGCATCAAAAAAGCACCTTGAAGGATGCCGGAGCGCATAGCAAGTACCTGCGTGCCGCGCACCGTTCTTTCAGTACTATTCGACTGCAGCGCCGCCGCTATAGACAACGCGGAAAGAATCAGGTGGCGAGGCGCGGTCACGCCACTCAACACTTCTAGGACACTCTAGCTGAGTTATGGCCCTTCTTGCCACCATAGCTGAGTCGGCGAGTCAGTTGCGTGTTAGGCCAATTTGTGCGGCTAAGTGGGGTGGATCACTGTGTTATTTCAGCCCAATGGAAAGGAAGCGACCGCACCATGCACTCTCGCTTTCAAAAAAAAAAATCTGAACATTTTTCAGGAGCGCCTGCCCCAACACGGAAGTGGCGAAAAAAAATAGACCCAGAAATCGGCGCTGTCGTGGATCTCCAAAGGCAGAGAAAGATTGAAAGCGCTGTAAAAAACGGGACCTTTGTATCTAAATGGATGCGGCAAAGCCTTTTGAACAACTAGAGAAAGTTCTTTTTCTGTGGTTCAAGCGTGCACGGAGTTCTGATTTGCCCATAAGCGGTTCGATTCTCGAGCAAAAATTTCGAGAGATCACCATGCAAATGGGTGTCAAGAACTTTGTATTAAATGACGGATGGCTCAGCCGATTCATAACACGCCAAGGCTTAGTCTTCAAAGCAATCTCAGGTGAGAGTGGTGGAGTCAACAGGGACATTTGGACCGACTGGCAACAGGGGCGGCTTAAGGAAATTTTGATCAGCTTTGAGCCACAAGACGTCTTCACCGTCGACGAGATGGGTCTTTCTTTATAAGGCGTTTCTATCAAAAACTCTCACCTTCAAAGGAGACGCCTGTAGGAAAACGCAGTAAACATAGCATCACTGTGCTGGTGGCTGCAAACATGGCCGGAGATTAGCAATTACAGCTGTTGATAATAGGAAAACCAAGGCACCCACTTTGTTTCAAAGGCGTTCGACACCTTCCCGTTGCGTGCCATGCGAATCGAAGAGCATGGATGACCATAGCCATTTTCGAAAACTGGCTTCGGAAGGAAGGCACAAGATTTACAAGGCAAGGCAGAAAGATTGTCTTCATAGTGGATAATTGCCCAGCCCACGGTCAGGTTTAAGGACTCCAAGCCATTACTTTGGAGTTCTTGCCAGCCAATGCAACGACAGTGATCCAGCCGATGGATCAAGGGGGTATTCAGAACAATAAAGTTCATTACCGCAGACAATTGCTCCATCAAATGCTGCTTAGAGCAGGCAGCGGGAAATTCTAGAGATACCTTTATTGGCAGCCATCCACATTTTGGCTTTTGCCTGGGAGGTAGTGAAGGCAACAACAATACACAGATGATTTCACCATGCTGGCTTTCAGCCAGCATGGTGAAACTTATTTGTGTTGCAGTGGGTGTACTCAGCCCTCTGGAAACGAGTATAATTTGATGGTTATTGCTATGTTTTTCTTACATTTCGTGCATACCAGTATCAATTTTGTTGTAACTTTGTTGTACTTTTATTTACCTTTGAACTTGCTGTACCTTTCCTGCTTGGACCTTAAATGGTTCGCAGTATATGATAAAAAAATAAAAACAAACGCAAGAAAGCAGTACCTGATGAAGAAGAAAGCCCTGCTGATGCCGACATTGAGACAGTATTCAGTCAGGTCGTGCCCTCTGCCCCTTTAAACGCTGCAGGACTACGACATCAATTTATGAAAACATTCGTACCTGTCATCAAGAGACTGTCGAGGAAATGAGGGCCGAAGTGCAAGATGAGGATCAACCTTTTAGCGATGAATGTGATGATACTGCCAGTGCAGTGGTACCAAAAGACCGATCAGCTAAAGAGGCTGTTGAACTTATGCAGCGCCATTTTGAGCATGAGGCTTGTCCAGAATTCTGGTTAATTTGTCAGGCGTGGGTGCGTACCTTGTGAAAAAACTACTGAAGCTTGCCAAACAAAGCATTCTTCACTCCTGCTACGTTCGTTAACTATTCACTGCTACGTTCGCTAACGTCACGACAACATGGCAATTTATTCTGAACAGGCACATGACGACTGCATTCAGCAGTGATTGCGCTCACGCTGTCATTGTCTTGGAATCACTGATGCATTTCAAAATACGTAATCACCACCTGACCAATGATCTGAAGTCAGGAGGATGGGAAGAAAGAAAGGGCCTTTTTTCTCTTTGTGAAGCTGCTTTAACAAGAGGCAACAGGATATCGTTCAAGTCACTTGAGAGCTTGAGAGGGTCAACATGCTAGTGCTTACCCTGTCTGCTCTGAGTGCCACTCTGAGTGCCAGAGGAATAGTTAAAAAGGCGTGTGTTCGAGGCAAATGGTGCTCCATGCTATTGCGAATATATATATAAAAAAGGAGTTTCTCAGAGCTCCATTTCAGGCCCCGTCCTTTTTCATTTATATATAAATGATATAACAGAGGTTCAATACACACCCGAAATAAAATGTTCGCTGACGACACAAGTATATTTGTTACAGGCTCCACCATTCCGAAAGTAGAAGCTTCAACAAATCTATACCTCTCAAAACTCTCAAGCTGGCTAACAAAAAAACAAATTAAATAAACAC